AAAACAATAATTTGTAAAGATCTATGCACCCCAATATTTGTGGCAGCACAATTTACAATAGCCAAGATGTGGAAGCAACCTAAATGCCCATCAACAGACGATTGGATATAGAAGTTATGGTTCATATATAAATAGAATATTACTCAGCCATTAAAAAAAATGAAATCCTACCTTTTGCAATGACATGGATGGACCTAGAGGTTATTATGCTGAGTGAAATAAGTCAGACAGAGAAAGATAAATACCATATGATTTCACTTATATGTGGAATAATCAAAAACAGACTCACAAATATAGTGGATTATTTGGTGACGGACAGAGGGAAAGGGGGTTGGGGGTCTGCGAGAATGGGATGAAGGGTTAAAGAAGTACAAATTAGTAGTTGATAGTTGGTCACGGGGAGCGCGGCAGAGGGAATGCAGTTAGCATTAATATGATGGCTAGGTGGAGGGCCGGGGGAGGGAGGGAACAATTGGGAGGATCGTTTTATGAACAGTATAGATATCTAATCAATGTACGGAATACTTGAAATTAATTAAAATAAATAAATGTTTTTAAAAATATAAGAGCACTATACATATTGCAACATAACTTATGATAGACCCATTCAAGAAAATCCTTGTGATACACCGCAAGCCAGGACTTGCATGAGGTGAAAAAAATCACAAGAAGGATAAGCTATCAGATATATGTCAGCTCTAGAAGCCAAGTACCCCTCTGTGCTCACTCAGAAGATAAGCGCTTTTTAAGTGGAACATTACTCCTGGTGCTACTGAGTAGCCATTTACCCAATGGTACAGCCTGTAGAGCCTTTAAAAGCACCAAGAGACAAGCTCTCCTAGGTTTATAGTGCAGATTTTGGTGGAGGCAGAAGGTAGTGTTTATTTATTACAGGAAATAAATGCTATACTTAGATTCAGACAACTGGGATGTGAGTCTGAGAAGCAGAACCTACAAAGAAACACCAACCATTAGCCATTCCCACAAACGCCCCTGCTCAGGAAGGACAGAAAATCAGCTGAAGATCAGAAACCCTGCTCCTCCAGCACCACAAGATCCCACAAAATCCAGCATATGGAATTAAGATATTTAAATGCACACACTTAACTTACAATATAAAAATCACCAAGTTGGTATTGTTTTCCTTTTCTTCGTCCACGCTGATGACTATATATATTTTTTTGAATAAAAGGAAGCACATTTGGTCTAGAAATTAAACGACAAAAATACGAAATTATTCAGCTTCTCTCAGAAGTAATCTTGACAGTTGTAACACTGTTTTATGGCCTACCTATTTTTCCCAAATTGCCGATACTCGTAAATTGTAAGGGACTGATCATGAGTGAAAAAGAACCCAATCAGCTCTCTGCAAGCATCACGTCCATTTCTAGTAAAAGAGAATAATATCAAAGATGTTAAAATAGGATAAATCTCAAATCAAATAATAAGCTACAATTGTGCATTCAAAGAGGGATAGCATTAACCCTCTGAATGTGTGGCAAATGAGCAAGGGTTATGGGAAGCCTTATGGTTACGAGAAAACACACCACGGCTTGCTGAATGGAGAAAAAAAGCTTTATCTTACACTGATATGAATATAGATATATCACAATGTAGATTACTAATTTGATATAGACTTTAAAGATGAAGTAAAAGAACTTTAAAAAATGTTGAGCTTGCAAGAAGCCACAGGATATATTATTATATATATACAATTATCTTTTGTCATAGAAAATTTAAAATCATTGAACAAATATGATCATTAAAACACACACACACATTTTACCACTAGCGGACACAAAGAACATCAAGTAGCATTATGTATTATTGAAAGTTTCTAAGACTAAGAGTTTTAAGAGTCATCTACCTTGTCACCTTATTGCATCTATCAATAATCTACTGTTAATTTAAGCCACAAAAATGAAATTACATACAGAAGCTCACATAAAGGTTAAATTTTAAATGGTTTAGAATCTTCTAGGAGTAATATATAACTTTTTAAAATTCACTTCTATTTTTCTTTTTGAAAGATATTTTAAAATAACTTCTAATTAAAATGTTTTTCTTAGCAGTCCATACATCCTATAACTTTTGTAACAGATTAATTAATATGTATTACCTAAAAATGTTCTAAATTCACATTTTCACTTGTTTGTAACAAACTTAACTAATCTCATTGTTGTTGTTTCTATTTGAAAATAGAATAAATTTTATAATCATAAGATTTAAAAGTTTAAAAAAATCACAATTACCTTGATATGATCCTGCTGTCGAATTGTACTTTATGAGAAAGCATATTTTCAGTTAATGTAGACTGGGTTCTTATCCTGTTAAAAAATACATTTGTCATTAACTATGTTTAAAATTACCTATATTGAATATAAAAGATAAAAGTACAAAAAAAGTTATGTTAATATTTTAAAATGCACAAACTGGATTAAGATGAGGTATAAAACTCTTTGCATTTTAAGACTGCTAATTGTAGCAGACACATAAGAAATAACCCTAGAATAGAGTATGTGAATACGCGAATGAATTTTATGTTAGATTGTATAGTATTAAAGTGCTATAAAAGTCAATAGTGAACAGAGATAGCGCATTTGTGACTGGCACTGCTGTAGTGCCAACCCGACAGGCATTACTCTCCCCATTCTCCTTGCCTCCCTCCCGCTACAGAATTTGCTTTCATGGGCTCGGAGGGATCCAGTTCTACCAGTAAACTTCCAAGAAAGACTTTGTTTTGTCCTGATAACACAGTGGCTTGGGAAGACTTACTGTCTGTGATAGTGGCAGGGATATGAAACTAGGAGCCACTGTAGCCATTAAGTAACCACGTCAGAAAGGGAAATTTCACATAAGAGGATATTTTGATATAACAAAATCTCAAGGAAGCCAGCTCAGAGCTGTGCCATCTCTGAGCCACTGAACTAAAACCAACAACTGCCTACCTCCAGGAAGCTGGTTGTATAAGAAAAATAAATGCTGACTTGTTTAAGCCACTATCAGTCAGGTTTTCAGTTATGGGTAGCGGAAAACATTCCTTACCAAAATAACAAAAGAGTGGAAAAGAGTGTTAGATGAGATTCTGGTCTTGGAATTGGACTAGCTGTGAGACCTCAAATCAGTTATTTAATCTTTATGACCTTCAGACAGCACTGAATCATCTCACAAACATTGCCGGTCCTAAAATTCTGTTTAACGTTATGAAGCAAACCCAAATGCACACACCTTGGCACTCTACTACTAATAATCTCCTTTATGCTAAGAAATCTGAAGGCGCAGTGACATATCTTTACTTTCCGTCCTAAACAGTCTTAAGATGTTCCCATAAAACTGCAGATATAGCAACACTGTAATAATGTAAATAGTAAGTGTATGGGGCATTGGAATCTTGAAAGGTTATATAACTCTATGAAATCTAGGTCTCTGTGAAAGGTAAGCAAGATATAGCCAACAAGAGTCTGTAGGCCAAATGAGTTTGGGAACATAGAGTGGAGCCATGAAACCTTGGTCATCTCAATTCAATTTAATAAATTAGAATTATGTGTTTACTGAATGCCCACTATGTACCTGAAGCAATTCTAAATGCTGAGAAAATAAATAACAGCAATAATAATGGCTATCATTTATTGAGAACTTCCTAGAAAATAGTTACTATTAAAGTCATTTTAATGTGTATTGCTTCATTTAATGCTTACAATACTTCCACTATTATTTCCATTTTACAAAATAAAATTTTTTTGCAGAGTCATACAGTTAGTACACGGCAGAACCAGGAAAAAACCTTGCTCTCATAATCACCATTAAATTGCTTCTCAAAGGTGAACAGAACTCAGTTTAATAGTGTGATAGTTGAAGTAATAACTTTAAGGAGTCTAAAGTCTCCTTGGAAAATTAAAAGAAGTAAACAGTCTTTTATATTATAAATGGAGAATTCCATGTTGAGGTTTTAAGTATCCGATAAGTAGCACCAATAATCTACCCAAGCCCTTTACCAATACAGAAATAAGAATCAAATAGATAAAGACCAAAATATGAATTTATTATTGATGAAGCTGTTCGAAACCATGGGTTAGGAAGGCAGCAACGAGAAGCTAAGTCCTTGACCCTAGAATTCAACAGATTAACCTACTCTTTTCCATTGGGGAGAGACTTGTAACAATGCATAGTACAGAATGTGTCCTTCTGCAGGTAGCTGAATCCCAAGGAAAAGACAAGAGTAAGGCTCATTATACATGCAAATTTCTACTTCCAACTCTATGAAGCAGAATTTTCTCCTCCTCCTCTGGGAATAATAAGGGCAGTAAAATCCATAAATTCAATAATTTGAATCAATATCCCCATAGGATTTTTCATAGAACTAGACTAGTTAAATATAAAATTTCTGTTGAAGACAAAAGGGCCTACTAGGCCAAGACAATATTGAAGATAAACAAGCTGTAGGTATTTATTCTGATATAAATCAATACGATTTAAGACAGGATAATATTGGAACATGGATGCATTACAGGTAGATGAAATTAAAGAAACAGCCTAGAACATACCATGCATTTTACAACAACTTGATATATGACATATGTGGTAGGCAGAGACATAATGACCTTGTGGTAGGCAGAGATTTCTTTAAAGATGATACAAAGGCTAATGATTAATGGAAAGATTGGCAAACTGGTCTACCTCAGAATTAGGAACTCTGGTTCGTCAAGAGACATGATCAAGAGAATGAAACGTTACGGCAAAGTATGAAAGCATATGTCCAACAAATATAAGTAAAAAATGACATATAACTAGATTATATAAATAAGGTCCACTGTCAATATGAAAAAGATAACCCGATAGATATGAAGGGAAATTTCATATAAGAGGATATCTAGATGACCAATACATATTTGCAAAAGTGCTAAACTTCATTTTTCTGCAGTGAAATGCAAATTAAAATTAGCAATACATGCTCATAAGAACTAAAATGAAAAATATAGATAATACCAAGCACAGACAAAGATATGGTGCAACTGGCACCCTCTTACTGCTACTCGTGAGAGTGCTAATTGCAACAACCACTTTGGAAAACTCTCTGGCAATATTTTTTAAATCTGAACATAGGCATACTAAACAGTCCCGCGATTCCCCTTCTAAGTATGTACTGAGGAGAAATGAGTACACATTTTTCACCAAAAGGCATGCACAAAAGTTCATGGCAGCATGATTCATAAACAGCCGAGTGTCCATCAACATCTATGAATAAACTGTGGTATAATTATACAATGAAATACTGTACAGCATTGAGAATAAAGGACAACTACAAATAACAACATGGATAAAACAAGCATAATGCTCAGCAAAAGAAGCCAGATACAGAGTCCAAATTTTGTGATTTCATCTAAGTTTATAAGCAGGCAGTTAATCGAAAATATCGAGATGGAGAAGTCAACGTGCTATGGCAGAGGACGTGGTTAGTAACTGGCAGACAACACATGGCGGGGGAGGGATACAGATAATGTTCTATTTCTAGAAACTTGGTATTTTGGGGTTGTGTAAATTCTTGTGCTATAAACCTAAAACGTGTTCACTGTGTGAATGTGTTTTAGTTCAAAAACAGTTTTCTTTAAAAAAAAAAAAAAGACGTAGATATGTGATAACTAAATGATGCCCTGCCCAAAGATGTTCATATCCTAATCCTCAGAACATGTAAAATGCTCATTTATATAATATGATAAAAGGACTTTGCAGATGGGATTACAGATCTGGAGATGAGGAGACTATCCAGGATATCCAGGTAGGCTAAAGTGCAATCACAAGGGTCCTTATAAGAGAAAAGCAGAGGGACAAGGGTCTACAGAAAGGAGTGTCAGAGTGACATCACACAAGAAAGACTTAACTAGCCATTGCTGGCTGTGAAGATAGAGAAAGGGGCCATGAGCCAAGGAATGAAGTCAGCCTCTAGAAGCTGAAAAAGGCAAGGAACAGATTCTTCCCTGAAGCTTCCAGAAGGAATGCAGCCCTGTCAACACCTTGATTTTATGTCTGATCTCTAGATCTGTAAGAGAAGAAATTTGAGTGTTTTAGAACACTGTCTAGGATAATTTTTTACAGCAGCAATAGGAAATTAATACATGACACCTTCATGTATTTAAAGGTATGAAAACAAAAGTTTCCAGGAAATAAGAATAAGGCAAAAAGGTAAGTTACAAGAAAGTACTGCCTGACAATTACAGCAGTCTGAAAATATAAAAAGCTACCGCAGGAACTGGTAGGTTTTCTATGTCTCTTAAAGCCAAGGCTAGATGTCAACAGTCAGAGAAGTTGTTGAGAAATTTAAGTGGAATGCACCAAAGGACTGTGACAGTCCATACCAACCCAAAGATTTTAAAAGATAAAAGATAAATAAAAATAACAATAACTTTTAAACAACACTCACTAACTTTGAATGTATTTTATCAATGAGATTCAGCCAATATATACTGTGCACATACCAATGTCTCAGTTACTATACTGCACAGTTTATACAGGAGGAGAGAGAGGAGAGATACAGTATCTCCTAAGGTTGTGGCCATTGTTCCTAATTACAAAGAGAATACCCAAGGGCAAACTTTTCCCCAGTATCTTAAAGTGGCAGGACTGGGAACTAAAATCCAAAAATTCCACTTCTCTTTGTGTAGAAAAAAGCAAAAACAAGCACAATCTTTCAGTTAGACGCAAAATTACATTTAAAAAATACATTTATAACATATTACACCTTCATTTTATATAAGTAAGCCTTCTTACTTTGTTTCATGTAGGGTTCGTTTCCTAACTCGAAGAGGTGCTATGTTCGACTCTGGAAGGATAGGAGCACTTCCTTGTTTCTCCGTGGTTACATTTTGTTCTGGATCACTGATTACAGCCCTACACAGCAAAATACAAAGTTCGACAATTAAATGGGATAATGAATTGTGCTAGCATTTACATATTTGTAAACAGATGGAAAATCCCATATACAAAATGCAAATTTACACTGCTATCAGAATTATATATTTGTCAGACATTAAATGAATAATCGCCTTGTGATGGCATGGTGGGGATGAAAACAAAAATGAAGTAAGTTCATGAGATCATGGAAGGAGATACTTTGAAGATTGTACGTATATTATTTCAAAGAATTTACTGAAATGTATGTAGAATATCATTCTCTCTCTCACCTAATGAAACAATAACATTTTTATAGCTAAACTTAAGTCTTACGTCTTAAGTTTAAGAGGTAAAAAGTCGTAGACTATTCCAGTCTCTTCTGAAATCCTGCAATATATCTTAAGTTTAAGATGTAGGAAGTCGTAGACTACCAGTTTCTTCTGAAATCCTGCAATATACACATGTCATGCAATTTAGCACAGCATGCTAAAATCTACATAGTTTTCCAAGGATTATGAAACTCAGATTAAGTTTTACAATTCTTATAGTTAGAGCAAGTTTCCAAACTGTGTACCAAGTCACTGTGGGGTGCCACAGGGAACTCACAGGGACGCTGTGGTATACTTTTAATTTTTGAGGGAAACACAGTGATATTTGATATTTATTAAATACCACATGAATTACTTGCTCAAGGTAATTTACAGTTTCAAGAAAATATCATGCTACTCTCCTTCAGTGATGTCACATCTTTGCAAAACTGGATTATCTACTGTCCTGTTTTAAAAAACAAGTGCCATGTGGAATAGAAAGTGAGGATGGCCACATCCTAAACGATCCAAAGGTTTGAGAGACTGTGCAGTGCCCAAAAAGTGCTCGTATCTCATTAGTAAGTAAATATGCCTATTTAAGAAGAAAAACATTTTCTTTCCATTTATGTGTATAATTTTTTTCAAATGGCCATTAAGTTGTTATGAAGTAAATGCTCATTACTTTTTTAGACAAAAACACTTAAATAGAACTGATGGGTACTTCTATTGGCCTACAAGGGCTGTGAAAAAATTACTAACACACTATGAGTACAATGAACAGAGAAAGTTTGGGAACCTCTGAGTTAGTAACTTATTGATTGACCAAAGATATGCGTTGTCATGCACAAAAAAGAAATTTAACAAAAACTTTCTCAGTGGATTTCCGTTATCTGTTACTAACACTCACCTAGATAATTGGTCTATCATCACTTGCTCTGCAACAGTCTGCTTCTTCTTCTCAGCAGCCACAATTTCCTAAAAAGAGAAAATAAAGAAAATCTCATTGCCTATTAAGCAGAATAACACTACAGTTAACACAAGAGCCCAAAATATAAACCATTCACAGTACATGAGGCTGGAACTAAATTGGAATTATTCAACCTTGTATCAAAAATCTAAAAGAACAAACACCTCCTATCATTAAAAGGATAATAATTTTTTCTATGCATATAATCCATTAATACTTAATCAAAAGTAGAAGCTCCTAAGAAATCTGGAAAATTTGGGCACAATCTTTTAAATGTTAGTCTACTATTGAATTTAGATTTTTGTTTAGTAGAAATTTAAGATGTATACTTCACACATCCAAATATGCCCCATATAAAGTGTTTATCATTTCATATAGAACTGCATCTTGTGTTTTCTAAACTGGTGACACTTTATAATGTTGTTGTTTAGTAATAAATATAAAATAGCAATTAAAAAGTTAGAAAAACTGTGTAAATTATAAGTAAAGCAAGGTGCATTTTATATCAAATGTGACTCAGAAAGTGGGCACTAACTAAACATTAAAATTATATACAAAAAAGATCAGCCTGAATGTAGACATAAAACCCAGAAAGAAGCAAAAGAGATGAGATTAATGAATATAGAGCCCATGCAGAAAGCCCACCTTGAGTGTTGACGTTTATGGTGGCTTATAGTTTGAAGGAAAGGTTAGACCCACCCTCAGGCACATTGATTTAGAGCTCTCTGTAAATATAAATCATGTTAGAAGCAGAAGTCACACTGACACAAAGAATGTGATTACATTGAAAAATGACAAACAAACTACAAGATATGGACTTAAAAACCACAGCTCACTGCTTCTGTTGTTCACTTCAGTAGTTTAAAATTAAATTAAAAATTTGTCACCTAAATTTTAAAAATAAATCAATACTAATTTGTGATGCATTCAAAGTTTATTCACATCTCCTTGAAAAACGCAGATAAATGAGTGCTACCACAATCACATGAAATGTACTTGGTAGTGAATTTAGATATATTGTCACTGATAAAGTAATTGTAAGGAAGAGAAATCTATCCAATGGGCCTTATGTATTGGTGACATGCATTTCAAGTATAACTTTAGACATATCAAAAAAGCCTTATTTGGGACACTATTTTGCCTTATAAAGTAGCTTCTTTATTTTTAGAATGATTCTCCTAATATTCTTTATTCTACTTAGCATAAATATCTAAATGATAATAGCTTAGAAAATAATGTGTATGTGGTTTTAATAAAAGAAGCATAGCAAATTAGCAACTTGGGACATCCACAGAAAATCAGACCATCTGGTCGAGATTGATTACATATTGCTATCGAGTCAGAAGATAGTGATTCTGGATGAGTATGATCCAAATAATATATATTGAATTTTACCTCAGTGACAATGATAATGTAACTGGATAAATCCGCATTGCTTTGTTATTATTTAGGCTATCTAAACCAGAGTTTGCCCAACTTTTGAGCCAACACACATAGGTATTCCATCAATCCATTACAGTTGTGCCTAAAATATTAATTACCTGGGAGTATCTGGGGTGACCAGTGGACTCCCACTTCACACAGCTTGGTCTGAATACCCCAGGACACTACAGAAATGGTGTTATCATCTATTTGTACCAGAACTGATCTAAGTAATGCTCATCAAACAATATAATTGATTCTGTAGAGAAGACAATTAATGTAGTTAATATTGAGAATCTAGAGTTTTGTTTCCTTTTCCTAAAGAAAGTTTACTTTATTCCTTTTCTTTTCTTTAACTGGTCTGAATTTCTCTAGTTTTATTAGCTTATGACTTTCAAAAAAATAACCAGACTACTTTGGTAGGAGGAGCGATGCCAAATAAGCCCACTGATATAAATAGCAGCCAATTAACATTTGCAACAGTATAAACTAAATTTTTACAAACTGTAACATATTCAAGACAATTTCTCCACCGTAAATAATATACCAAATATCAGTCATTTGTAAAAATGAGGACTCAATTTGCACATTAACGTATGTTCACTTCATTCCAAATTCAGTTGTTGAAATTTATTCAATTGTAAGTTGTAGACTCTTAGAGGGCAAATTATCTCAATGATGTAACAAATAAGTAAAAATAATGATAACTTACAGAGTCAGATTTTCTTGTATTCTGCAGTGCATTATAAGGGTTGTCTGCATAACCCTGTTGTAAGAGGGCTTTTCTATCCAGAGTTGTAAGATCATCCGTGATTTCTTCTTCTCTTTGTGCATACTATGTGTGAAAGCAATAAATAAACTCTCATACACATACTTAGAATATTTTTTTAACAAAATAAAGGATTATGTAACCACTGAGCATGTCAGTGATTATTTGTGTAGGGGTTAACAGTACAGACTCTGAAAATCAGATTTCTTGTTGGAATCTTTTCCACTTTCTAGCTAGATGACCTCTTTGTGCCTTGGCTTACCCAGGAAAATGGGAATTAATAATAGTAACTACTTCACAAACACATACATAAAGAGATTAAATAAGATGACACATGTCCAACACTTATAAAAGCACCTGACATACCATAAACATTAAATAAAACATAGTAACTATTATAACTATCATTGTTCCTTTGAGTCTTTATAAAGTTAATAAATGCAGGCATGCCCACTTCTTTATATAATAAAATTCAGAGGTAAATTACTAAAAGATGGGGTGCATCTTTTGAGGAAAAAGATCCTTTGGGATCCTAAAGAGATAAACACTAAATTTTTCTTTGAATATAAGATGTGCTTATATTCCCTTAACAAAAAAAAAGTGTCCCAATAGGATAGTACCTGTCAAAAATTTAATAGATTTCAAAAGATTTTTTCCCCCAGGATTCGTTCTTAATTTAGACCTTCCTTGAAAAGTCCATCTTCATACTCTACTCTGTCTGCATGACCTTTGATTGCTACATAAAATTTTATTATACATTTGTTTGTGATCCGTTGCCTACCTCTACTGCTGTAAATACCATGGAGGCAGGAATCCTGACTGTCGTTTTTATTGCAGTATCCCAGGTGCCAGAACAGGACTACAAACTGTAAGCACTTGATAAATAGCTATTCAATGAATGAATGATGAATCTTGTTTAAATATTAACTACTGGGAAATCAACTTATGAAGACATTTTCTACTTTTATTTATTTACTTGCTAATATATTTGTCAGATTTTCTTTCAAGCATAAAGCTCTGCATAATGTTTAAGTTGGAAGAAACTTTCAAAAGCATTTTATTTTGTTCCAGCTTGTTTTTAACCTTACAAAAGGGAAACAGTGACATTGCTACATGATATCTCAAGTTTTTCCTCCTCAAACCAGACTTGTTTGTGGTCTACCCTACTCTTCCAATTGCTCCGGCCAAAAGCCTTAGAGTCATTCTTAAAAGCTACAACCAATCCATTAGCAAATATTTTCAGCCCTTCCTTCAAAATCTATCCAGAGTCTTACAGATGCGGAAGGGATGTGAAATTATCCTGTCTACTATTATATATACTTGATTATTATATTTGTGTACATTGTTTGGATCTGAGAAATTCATTTTAATATAAAGAAAACCTAATAATCCCATAACTTTTGTTATTCTTTCAGCTAAACATCATGTGATTTAGTTAGTTCTAGATAATTCCTACATGAATTAGGAAAAATAGCTGATATGCCACACTTTCTTATAAATTAATCTTTTCTTACCTATTGGAAAATGATAAGCAAATACAACTATCAAACTTCCTTGAAAATACATTACTCTTATAAAAAGTTAACTGCATCAAGAATTGTATTCAACTGTTCTCTTCTTTATGGCCAGTCGTATCATAAAACTGTGTTTCCAAAATTTTATTTCCAAAATTCACAATTTTTCCTGTAAGCTTATGAAAAGCCATTAGATGTATTATGTTTACTTTGCTCTTATATTCAAAATGGTGAATTTATACCTAATTAATACTAAATGAAAGTGTCACAATTCTAACAATTCATGATATTAAAAAACATCTCTCAAAATGAGACAGAACATAATCATAGAGTAATGACAGTTTTAGAATAAAACAGCATCACTAGAAAGTCTGAAACCACTTTTCAACTTTAATATTTAGACTATGAGATCAAGAGTCAAGACAGCTACATCAAAAACAACTATACTGTACAATGTCTTAATTTCAATCCAAGGCAAGTGAAAAATTTCCAACAGAGAAAACATGATCAGGTCATATGACTAGAGTTTTCACATCCAAAGATTGTGATAATAACCCTTTAGGGCTATTGTGAAAAAATAAACTAGTTAATGTAAGTAAAATCCTTAAAATAATCTCTGGCACTTAGAAATAAATGTTAGCTATTATACCTATTATGATTAACAGTAAGACATAGCAGACAAAGAGATGTTTCTATTATGAGTGGACTCTTTTTAAATTTCATTCAAATTTTATAAAACATTATACATTACCATGTCATCTATCTTGTTTCTTGGAGACTGTTCATGTGTGATATTTGATTTTGTCTTTTCTGCATTTCTCTGACTATACCATTTATATCCTTCTTTCATTTCAGTCTTATATTGCTGACACTTTAGTTTATATTTGCCTGCTGATGCTGGCAAATTTTCAGGTATTATGTCTTCCTCCTAGAGGTAAAAGAAAAAGTATGCTATCCACTAGAAAAAAATCAAAATATTAATTTTTCTTATTAACATTAACAGGTTTATCATTTACTTTAGCATTTATGCCTAAAAGATAGACCACGACATCTATGGTCTAAATAGGAGATAGTTAAAACATTTAGCTGTAAAGCATCATGGAGCAATCAGAGCAGACAGAACTGCTCAGAATGGGTGCTGGACTTAAATACTAGTCAGCCTCTGCCTTGTTTCCTAATAAAATTCAGTCCTGCTTCTAAAATAATTCGAAAGGACAAAAAACTTTTCTTTCTTTTTAGGAGTTTTAGATAGGCCTTTTTTCTTGCTCCAGAAAAACTCCATTGTCAATCATTTCTTCTAGAATATTAGGAATTGGAGATCACTAATACTGAGAAGCACTGGTTGCCACTTCTAGAATATTAAGATGTTCTCCCTTCTGGCATTATTTGGTTCCCTTCTGTATTTCCATAGGAGTGAGAGATAATAGAGACAGTAGGTAAGACAAATCTAAAAGAAGTACTAAGCAAACACCAGGGCACACATATTGGCCCAGAGAGGGACAGCCACTCCAAAAGGAACATAAAGTCAGTACAACCATTAAAAACTGTTGATACTATCCAAGTTTAACACAAAGGAGAAGGAGGAGGCAAAGCTTTAGTGAAAACTATAGCCTGATACAGATTAGGGCACTACCGGTGTGTTTTATCCAAAATGAGGCTGAGGAGAACCCGAATAGGGCCAGTTTGATGAGAAAGACTAACCAAGACAGAAAAGCAAGTCCTAACTCATAGATTACTGGCCAGAACTTGTGTTCATAACATGAAATAAAACACATTGTGTAAAGAAGAAATATGTCCCAAGGAGATAACTTGGAATTAGTAGAGCTATTTATTTATTCCATAGTATACTAGCAGCCTAAAGTCGGAGTTATGTTTCCAAAAGACCAGTCTTATATTTTTCAACTAGTAAGATCTGATCTAATAGTCTGCCATAATGTTTAAATTCCTAGATTTCCTATTAGGATAAATGTGTCCTTTACCAATTTTGTAAGGCATTTAAAAAATATCATTCTGTGGGAGAAAAAAAATGTAAAACAAAGTAAAATTATTTCACCAACATTATTGTTTGGGATGTTAATATATAAAATGCTTAGACCGGACAAAATATAGACTGAACATAATGAAATTTCTGGATTAAATACAATGCTAAAATGCAAACTATGATTTTGAATGATGGTAATAAGAAATAAATACTAACCATTTAATTTAGATGATGCTGAGTATATGGTATTTGACATGATGTGACCCAATCAAGAGATGAATTTGGTGGGTCAAAATGAATATGCGCTGTACTAAGTGGAATATATGAAAAATCACCTTAAAAATAAAATTAAATACTTACTATATGCTATATGTAATGCTGTGTTCAAATGTTATTACATTAAATACCAAGTAAAAATTACCTCATCATCAGAACCAACAAGGCTTCCCAAATCAAGTCGTGGGACCCTGAAAGAAATAATCTATGCATCTCATAATTTTAAAAATGAGACTTATTGTAACAGTTGCAAATCATATATGCTGCATTTTATATAAAAAAGTACACTGAAGCCAATTGTGCACTGGTGCCTACCATCTGCGATAAGTTTCTGTTAAACATTCTGTGTTTTTTGAGCTGACTATTAACAAAATATTATTAAAAATAAAATTATATACACTTATAATTAAATAAGTTATATTAACAACAAAAGTAATAACTATAGCAGAAATTTAATCAGTGGCATTAATTAATGAAGTTTTAATGCTTTATTTTCTTCTATCATATTATCTTTGAATTAACTCTCTTCCAGTATAGGAAATAATTATTTTTTTAGGACTTAGAGTATGCCCTATACAAAAAATCTTACATAATGGTAAAGAACAGTATTTATAACATTTAAAAGCTTAAGCCAAATTAAGACTTTGCTTGGCAATAGCTTTGTCACTTTGGGCAAATCACATAACTTTTATCAATCTTGTCTTCTTCGTCTGTTAAATAAAGATGGCAGTGCCTTTTAGAAAAAAAGAAAAGAACAAAGGTAATAAATACTCAAAAGTCATCACTTCTTAATGATTTTACTATACTTCACTATTATCTGTATCCTAGAGGTTATTCATATCTATTGTATCTGTGTGGTAATATAACGGCATGCATCTCCTTCCAAATCTGTGTTCACTGATATTACATTGAAAGCTTGAAATCAATCACAGTAGGATTATTTACACAGAAATGGGCAAATGCTATGAATCAGGACTTGATTTCTTACTTTGTTGATTTCTGAGACTTAAAAAAGGGTGGAGAAAATGTCAATAGTGCATATTAAACCTAAAAGTGTATCATGTCTTAACTGTCACATCGTGAATAACAAAAAACTGAGGAACTATTATTGTTCCAGTATTCAAAACTACCTCTTGACACAGCAAAGAAATCGCTCACTTTGTGCTACTATGAATGAAAATATCAACCAACATTCATGCTGGAACTACACTAGTTCATCAATTGCAACCATAGCTTAGCTACAGATACAAAATAGCTTAGCTACAGATACAAGAGTTTGGCAAAAAAAAACAAAAACAGAAATTTTTCTGTGAATCTGTTGGCTATATGGAATTGACAATGAAAAGTTTATATATTTTATTAGTATTTGTAGCAGTAAAATCCTTTATAGCAGTAAAATTTATAATCAACTTAAAATATACTTAAGTTTATCTATAATTAACAATTAAAATTTATAATAAACTTAAAGTACACTTTTGGAAAAATGTTATGTTAATAACATTCACCAGTGCACAATTGATGGCCATTACAAACTCAGTATCTAGTGCTTCCACCTGGCTCTATTGTTGTCTAGATGAGCATACAGGTACCTATTATGCAGAACCACAAGAAATTGCTGATATCTGCCCATTTTTAATCTATAAAAATGTCGATTTCATATGGCTCAGCCTAAATTTTTTATTTCTATTTCCAAGAAGCTCTGTAATCTAAAATACTTGAAAGAATATAAAAATCACATCCTTCCAAATTTTAAAAGGGAAAAATGGGAAGTATAAGACAAATTAATGTATTCTAGTCCCAAATAAAATCATTTTAATAACATTGATAAAATTATCATATTCTTCAAGATAAAAGTACAGATAAAGCTCATTTTGACTATCTTAGTTATAAAATGAAAAATTCATCAAATTCATTTTGACCATCCTAGTTATAAAATGAAAAATTGTAGATATTCTTAAATAAATGCACTTAGCTGAATATTCTAAATAAAGCAACATTTAACTTTTTAGAAAAATATATTAATAATGTTAAATAAAATAAAATAAACAAGAGAAGTATTACATTTAATCCTACTATACTATCACAAGAGCCACTTTAATTTTGGCATAGTAATTTTCAGGCCATCCATATACATATAAATTTTTCTGTGGTTCACAATTATAACTATATGTATATAATTTTGCCTTCTTTTTTTTACCTGTCAGTGTATTATAAATATGTGCCCATTATACAGCTCAAACATGAAGAAATGTAACTTACACAGGTAGACAAGGATTCTGCATTGTCCATGATTTGGAAGTCCATTCTTTCTTCAATTAAAAAAAAAGAATCAGTACACATATACCCTTTATTTTTACTTTAAAAAATAAGCAATGAGTCAATGCAATAAGTCTAATTATAACTTTTCTCAGTAAGTTTTATATAATAAATATTTATTAATCCCTTTACTGTCCTTGAGACACAGAAATAGGATGATAAGCAACATAGATAATGCCTACCCACATAGCACTCTGTCTGCTGGAGAAGACATTTACTCAAACAATAATATGAAAAGTAAGCACTATGACAGAATAGCTAAACATAGCGTGTGTACCCAACTTAGTCTAGGGAATTGAGGAATTCTATACAAAAACAAAGCAGTAACCTTTAAATGGAGTTCTAAAGGATAAATAGGAGTTAGCCAGATGAAGAGAGAAGGGAGAAAATCGCTTCAGCCAAGAGGAACAACTTGTGCTGAAGTTGTATACATGTCACTATAAATTTGTCTACTCCTATAAAATGTAGAACATAGTTAACTCTAATGTAATCTATGAACTGTGAGTGATAATGATGTGTCATGTCGGTTCATCAGTTGCAACAAATGTACCACTTTGGTGGGGAAGGTTATTAATGGGGAGAGGCTATTCATGTGTGGTATCGGCGGGGTATACAGGAAATCTCTGTACCTTCCACTGAATTTTGCTATGAACCTAAAACTGTTATAAAAAATAAAATCTACTAAAAAAAAAAAAAAGACAGGACATAAATAATCCAACATTTTAAATAAAAGGCCAGGTAGTAAATATTTTTGGCTTCATGGGCGATGGAGTCTCTGCCACAACCACCCCCTCCACTCTGCTGTCATAATGAGAATACCCAGATAATTCATAAATAAATGAGTATGGCTGTGTTCCAATAAAACTTTATTTACAGAAACAGAGCTGGGCCATAGTTTGCTGACTCCCAAGCCAAGGGATTTATAAACTATAATTTATCCTTATTTTGGATTGGCTAGCACAATTTCATATTCTAGATTGGCCTAAGGATTTATAGACTAATTTATATTTATTCTGGATTGGCTACCACCAAATTGGCTTCAACATTTTTATAATGGTATGTATACTGTTTTTGCAATCTTTTATTATGAGTTATTTCTATGTTACTACTTTAAATGATCATTTTTATATCTATATAATATTCTAGCTAAAGGTTGTACCATAATTTATCTAATATTCCTCAATTGCTATATATTTTTCCATATTTGATTCACTATTTAAAAAAACATACTTTAAAAAAATCCCTTTCTTTTTCACTTGGCTTTTTCTAGATTTCGGATTATTCCCATAGAACAGATTACCAGGAATGGAATTATATTAGCATCAAATAATTTGAAAACTTTGGTAGTTCAATACACATTGCCAATTTCATTTCTAAAAATGTGGTGCCAATTTATAATTCATCAACTCTAGTTCTGACTATCTTCAATTCACATTTTCCCTTAATTTGATAGAGGCATAAAGGTAAATCATTATGTTAATTTTCATTCCTTTAATTATTAGCGAGCTGAACAGCTTTTTTTTTAGTCTTATTTCCTACAAGTATCTATCAGTTGATGTTTGTAATGATATTTGAAGCATTAAGTACCACTTTACAAAGTTTATGTATTATTTCTTGCTTTTAATTCTAGCTTTTAGAACATGCTAGAAATGGTACTCATAAATACAATATTGATACTTTGTTGATAAACTCTAAGAAACAATAACCTGGATATCTAATACTATTTTTTTCTTAAGGAATAAGAGTTCTAAAATAAACATGAACTTGTCCCCCAAAGCTAGATCTTCCTAATAGGGAGATAAAGGCATTAAGACTTAAAGAAAGATATACCTGGGCAGAAAATGTTAATTTTAGAAATCATTTTTTAAGAGCTTAAACCTTGAGCTTTTCCTAGCAACCAGGAAAAAAATTGAAGCCTCAATAATATTATAACCAATCAGTGGGAAGACTGTGATACTGTACTTGATATTTTGACTAATAAGAAAGGTTGCTTTGATTCAAATTATCAGAGAATTCAGATTTAACCCATAATATTGTGAACCATAAGATCCCCAAAGCACCAACTCATTCATATAAGAAAGATGACTGAACACAGAGCTAAGAATACAGATCTCGAAGTCAGAACTGAAGTTCAAACTCCTGGCAAATCACTTAATCTCTAAGAGTCTCAGTTCCTCCATATCTAAAAGAAGGTTAAAAATAATACCTACCTCAAAGATTTATTGTAAGAATTAAGTGATATAAGTTCTTGAAACGTTTATTATGGTTACTGACAAGCATAAGCATTCAATATTTGGAAAAAGAACAGCAAGGAAACATACATCCTTTTTACGTATTTCTAAACTAAAATTTATGTCTACCTAATTATGTGGTAGATACAAAAACAAAGTAGCTTTAAACGTGCACTTAACTTAATCTCTGATATACACAAAAGTGAAATTATGAAGGGTGGGAAGAATAAAAGTCCTAATAATAAAAGCCCAGGTTCTCTTACAATCTGACTAGCACAAAATATAAATTGACATTTTTACTTCTTTCTACTATTTTTACTTTTTTATATTTTCTGCAGACATACACAGATGAGTTTTAAATAATCATAAGAAAACAGTAACAACAAGCTTAATTTTTAAAAATAAAACTAATACAAGCAGTGATCAATTTTCAAGTAATGATTATCTTCAATTTTAGTGGTTCAATTCTTCAAAGCACAGAAATATTAATCTTAAATATTTGTGAATATAAGCAGCCAAAATAACATGAAGAAAAGAGTCAAAATTATTCAGTGAATCATTCTACAAGAAAGGAATTATATAGCACACATACCTGCAGTGGTTTCTTTCTTCCAGAGAATGACTGAATTTGATTGCTAGGAGAGGTGGCAACTCCTTTAACCTCTAAATCCATCAAGTTCATGTATTTATTGAGCAGTATACTTTGAAAAAGATAAAATATACAAAAGATGATAATTCTTACTCTAATTTTAAATAAATCATACAAATTACATAATAATGCAACATAGGAAGAAATCGCATGGTCCATCACTTTTACTTCTTTCACCAAAATTAACTATTTGTGGAGCAATTACAATATGTGAGACAACATTTGTGGGGCAAATACTAGTCTGAATAATGACCCCCCAATATATCCATCACAAGGTCCTAATCATCAGACCTTATGAATATGTTACCTTCCATGACATAAAGGACTTTTCAAATGTGATTAAGTTAAACGTTTTGAGATTGCGGGTTGTCCTGCTTTAGTCTAGTGGGTCCAATGTAATCGCCAGGGTTCTTAGAAAAGGGTCACAGGATGATCAGAGTGAGACAGAGAAGATGTAAGGATGGGAGCACAGGTCAGAAAGGAACAAAAGTGCTATGCAGCTGGCTTTGAAAATGGAGGGAGAGGTCATGAGCAGCCTCAAGAAGCTAGAAGACGCAAGGAAGGGATTCTCCCCTAGCGCCTCCAGAAGGAATACAGCTTTGTCAACACCTCGATTTTATGTCTGACCTCTAGATCTGTAAGACGAGAAATCTGTGTTGTTGTTTGCTTGTGATCATGGCTATTGTATTTGCCATGATGATTAGTGGCCAACAAACCCAAGTTGAGACAAGGATGTTGAACAATCAGCTAGGTGATTTTCTCCACACATCAGCCACACAACTATTTGGACCTCAGTAACTACTACAGCCACTTCAAATCACTATAGGTCATTTTAAACTACTACAATTCATTTGCAAATAATAAAAACAACAAAATTTAAACCCTCAGATTTTCAGGTCCACCTCAGTTGTGTCTGTGTCTGCCCAAACTGCTGCAACTCATGAGAGGTTACTGCTAGCATGCAATGAACATCGCTGACAACAGATCCAAGTCTACTATAGTATCCTTAGTGCTACCAAAATGGAGTAAACTTACCTCCCACTTTCTCATTTTTTTAAAAGGATGATTATTTCCATTTCCAATTATCATTACTTCTCTCTTGACCAGTGATATTAGTGATTAGACTGTTCAATATATCAAATCAGAACGTGATGGAAAGCAAAGAATAAGTTGATCAAATCCAATCCATAATCAAAGGGCAAAGGAAGAGATTTGTAAACACTATTTAGTATTTAAGCTTCAGGCAGGCGGGGACCAAGTGTATCTTGTAGCCCAGGTGATAACAGACCCAGGTATCTGAACTGAACCTGAGGGCATTCTTAAAAACTGAGATTATACTTCCAGACAATGTACTAGATAGAACAAATGCTCCACTCTCTTCCTATCTGGGATTCATGAACTGCGGTGGGACACCAGGGACAGCCAACCTGACTTGACCCAACAAGCAGGGTAAAGACCAGATCCGGAGTGGAAGGACTAGAACGATATAAACTGGGGCGATTCCACGGAGAACCCTCGTTAGTCAGCTTCAGACAGGACAAGCTGGAAGGGGACAGCTCCCCGCAAAGGCTCAGGCCAACTCCGGCCAGCGTCTGCAGGTTGCCTGGCAACAGGAGCCTCCGCACTGGGCCTCCAGCTCTTCTCTCACTTCCAGGGAAAAGAATCTGGTCCGCCCAAATCCCTCGCTCTATCCACGCCACCTCCGACCACCAAAGTGAGTGGGCCCTTTCTCCTCGTCCCCTGCCCGCACCAAAGGTGACCCCGCCGCCCTCAAATCTACTCACGGAAGAGCCCTCGGTGAAGAACTAGCAGCGTCCCTCGGTGCCTCTCCCTGGGACCAGCTCTGCGGCGCCTCTAAACCCCGGCGAGGAGCTGGAGCGGAATCCCTCATCCGCTCTTGTCCCGCCCAGAGAAAGCGCCAAAGCCCGACCCGGATCCACCGCGGATGTGTAATTCTTCATTTAAGTGAATTTGATTTAACATATTTTACAGAGCTCTACCAGTTGTCAGCTCCCAAACTGATGTTTTGATGGGAAAAATTTTTTAAGCATAAGTTCTCAAAAAGCTTGCAATTACTTAAAAAGACAAGACTGCAGTATAGTATCATAGAGATATATAAACATAGATATAGATATTACTTTAAAATGGGTGCATGTAAACACATATACATATATATAACATATTACATATGACTACATAATATATATGGCTACAAATTAAAGTATATATATAATGGGAACAGGCCTAGGAAGCAGGAAACCTCCATTTCATGCTTTGCTCTCCACACAGTGTCTTTGGGTGACAATTCCTCATCAATAAAAGGAAAGATCCGGTTTGAGATATTTCTAAGGTTCCATTCCACTCTAATATGCTGTAACTGCCCTGAATTACACAGCCAAGTGTCAGATACTCAAACTAGAACTAAGAACTTCTGAGCCTAATCCAGTTCTCTTTCCACAATATCAAGTTGTTTATCTAAACTGCAATATCTTTTCAAAATCAGCTCCTCTCAAAATATATGTATTTAAATTTCCAGTTGGAGCTAGGTTTAAAGTAAAAATAAAAATACATTTTTAAAGCATAAAAATAGTCATCTGTGGATATAAGATAATCTTACTTCTTCTATTTCTTCCTTGTGCTCCATAAAATTCACCTACCCAATAACTCCACACAGAAAGAAAAGCAAAAACAAACTGAAAAAAAGCAGTAGTGAAACAAAAAACTAAACTTCAACTTTTAAAAAGTTATCAAAGACCTTAAGAATTCTAATGCCCAACTAATCTTGCCTATTCCACAAATAGATATTCAAGAAATAAAATACCCTTGTATATTCCTGGCACTTAGGCTTAGTACATCAAAATTACTTCAGTATTTTTGAATATAGTTCGTTAAGCCATTAGTAACATGGTCTAAATAAAACACATTTATTCAATCCAGACAGTGTGTTAAAATAACTATTTATAAAAGCAATAATCTTATATTATGTGTTGATAATATAAATTGTACTTTCTTGCCAGTTTTCAAAATATTCACTACTCTACAAAAGATCTGTAGTTATTATAGCCAATTAGTTTCTATATACATAAAATTAAACTAAATTAGCCTTATGTTAACCTATAATATTTTCAGTACAAAATAATTTTTATTTGAAGCTTAACAAACATCCATTGAATACCTACTATCTGCACATATCCGACATTAGAAAAAGTAAAAATATATGAGCCTACTCAGTAGTATTTTTTAAATTATCGATTGAGTCTAAAATATTTATCGACCTGCTAGTATAGGATGAATAAGATATTGTTTCTAAAGAAGCTCAAAGTTTTATACAATATTATTAGAAAGTTAAAGAGTGCCCATTTCTTCGATAATTCACTCAACAAATATGTATTGCGGGCAGGAGGGTTCAGTGCCTGCTTTAGGTGCTATAGATATAGCAGTGAAGAAAATAAAGCCACTGTTTTAGTGAAGGTTACAATCTAATAGAGTCACCAAACGCTAAATAAATAAGTAATATAATGTCAGGTAACAACTAATGCTATGAAGAAAAATATAAGACATTAAAGGGATAGACACTGACAGGTAGAAGGTTACATGATCAGATATGGCTTCACTGACTATAATCCTGAGGACAAATTGAACGGCAAGGGCAAAAGGCCTGAGGAGAAAGAATCCTTGTAAGCTGATGGGCATGACTGATACAGCGTGAGTCCAGGGAACGTAGGACAGAGGCAAGAGGTTAGTCGCAGTCAGGTTAGGTAGTGTCTTGCAGGCCATATCTAGGACTTCAGATTTTATAAGTGTGATAGTGAGTCATTATAGGGTTTTGAAAGCGGGGGTGGCTTATGTTTTAAAAAGAATAATCTGGCCATTCTATGGAAAATAAAATGTAACGAAGCAAGAACAAATACAGAGAAACTGAGTAGAAGAATATTACTGCCTATGTTCCAGCAAGAGACGATGGCAGCTCTAACCAGGATGTTGTCTACCCACAGAATAGGAAGCAGCATTTGGACTTAGGATATATTTTTAAAGTAGAGCCAACAGGATTTATAAATTGATTGAATGTAGTGTATGAAGGGGAAAGGAAAAAAAGTAATAACATAGGCTCACGAAGTGTTAGGAAGTGTAAGACAGTATGATGGTTAATTTTATGTGTCAACTTGGCGAGAGTGGTGACCAGTTGTTTGTTCTAACATAAGTCTAGAAACTTCGTGAGGATAATTTTTAGATGTGATTAACATTTAAATCAATAAACTTTGAGTAGATTATTATCTATACTGTGGGTGGGAGTCAATCAGTTGAAGACCTTAAGAGCAAAGGCTGAAGTTTCCCAAAGACGGGATCCTGCCTCCAGAGGGTAACATGGAAATTCTGCCTGAGTTTCTAGGCTTCAGGCTCAAGATTGCAACATCAGCTGTTACTTTAATCCTCAGCCTGTTGGCTTGTCCTACAGATTTTGGACTTGCCAGCCCCTCAAAACCACTGTCATTGTGTGTGGGTGTATAGGTATGCAGGTGTGTATGTGTATGTGTATATGTGTGTATAAAGGGAGCCATAAAGGTATATGTTCTCTTGTTTCTTTTTCTCTGGGTAACCCTGATTAATACAGGGGGAAATAGAGAAATAAAGTAATCAAATATAAAAACCATGAGACGATTTAATGGTAAAAGATTCTTTGAAAATGGGACAATTCATAAAAGGAACTGACATTTGACTGGAGTCTTAAAAGATTCATTTATTAATTTGTTCATCAAATATTAAACTCCTCTGTTTGGATGCTGGGAGTACAGTAGTAAAAATAATAATAAATAATAATAAGTATCTCTGCCTCATTGGTCTTACATTCAATTGAGAGGAGAGGTGTTAACAATGTAAAGCAAATTACGTCATAAAAGGTGAAGATAAGGGTTATAGAGAAATACAAAGCAGAAAAGGGTCAATAAGAAATGATAGGTGTAGGATGAGTAATAAAAATACCATAGTCAGGTATTTTGAAAAGATGTAATTTGAGTAAATATTTGAAAGAGGTTATGAATGAGCCATGTAGCCTTCTGGGGGGAAAAAAGTTCTAGGTAAACAAAACAAAAGCAAATGTCTTGAAACAAGAGCACCTTGCCTTTTTCAAAGAGCAAAGGGGCTTGAGTGTCTGAAAAGGAAGGGGAGAGAAGTAGGAGATGAGATCAGAGACAGGCCCTCTTGTATAAGGTCTGAGATATAATCTTATTTTTCTAAAAGAATTTTTTCATATATAATTCTTCATCTAGAATTTATTTTGGTGTAAGGAAAAGAATGAGATCAAATCTTATATTTTTCCATAGAAATAAGTAATTATCTGACAATATTTATTAAAAAGTCCATATCGTCTAATTCAACAGAAATGCCATCTCTATAATATATACCACTTCTGGGATGGATATGTGAATACTTCTTGACTCTTTATTCTCTTCATTTTATCCATTTGCTGTTATTCCAAGAGCTAAGGCTTTATATCACATAGTTCATAGTCTCTGACCACAAATGTAATGAAATTTAATCAATAACAAAAAAAAAGAATAAAAAATACATTTGGAGAAATTAAACAACACACTCAGTAAATCAAAGAATAAATCATAATGGAAATTATATAATTTATAACTGAATAGCAATAAAATGAGTACACTCTCGATCCCTGAGTTGCAGCTAATGTCATAATTCAATGAACATTAATAACCTTAAATACATGTATAAAGAAAGAAAAGAAAAGAAAACCCGTTCTGATTCTTGACCTCTATTGGGTTGATTAAATATCCTTCATTTGTTATTGTTCCTTTATTAGTTTGAGATTCCTTTCTTTTAATAGTTATTCTTAAATTTTTAACATGTGTGCATCACATGAAGTCAAAAAGTACTCAATATCTTTATCATTATCTTCTCCCAGCAATACAAGGACCTTAGACTAGTTCAGCTATAATTACTAAGCTCTCCCATTTTCCACATAATTTTTGCCTAGTATTATAGTTCCACCTTGTATTTAATCTTCCTTAAATATTTCCTCCATTATCAACATACTTCCCTCTTTCATCCCCTTCAAGTATTTGCTTAAAAGTCACCTTCTCAAAGACATCCACACTGATCACCCTATTTGAAATCAGAACCTGCCACCCCCATCTCTACACATACCCAGTGTTCCCAAACTCCTTAGCCTGGATTTATTTTTTCTATAGATATTATCGCTGATTTATTTTATACTATAGAATTTATTTATTATGATTATCATTTATTGTCTGTCTCCCTTCACTAGAATTCCAGAGAGGCAGATTGCTTTGTTCTATTTTTTTATGGTTGTAGCCCAAGCACCAAGAAGAATGCCTGGTACATAGCAGACACTCAAAATATTTAGTATGTTAAAGACTATATGTGGTCACTCTGACTGCTGTCTTGAGAATAGACTACAGGAAGTTAAGAGTGGGAGCATAAAGATTCACTAGGAAGCCATTGCAATTATCCATGAAATCAAGGAGGCATCATTTCGAACAGAGAACAGTGGTTAAGGTCTGAAAATACAAAGACAAAGCCAACAGAATTTACTAAGGCACCAAAGCCTCCCAAGTTTGGGGCCTGAGCAATCAGTCAAAAAGATGAAACTGATATTAACATAGATAAGGTTAGGATTGGGGTGTGATATATCAGAAGCTCAGTTTGGACTAAGTATGTAATGCTAAAGTCACATGCACTGTAATTCTCCACAAACCAATAGTAGACCAGAAATGTTTTTTCTATCGCTCAGTAGAATCTCCATTAGGACCCTTTTCCTCATTTTATAATTTAATTTTCTGATTTCTAAAAAAAACGATGACTACTTACATCATTTTTTTTTTTTTTGGTAGAAAGCTCAATTGACTAGAATATTCAGTAGCTGTAAATATGTGCTCACTTAAATACCACTGTAAATAACTTCAAATCATGAAAACAATTATTTATTTGAAACATAGATATATACTGAAAATGTCATTTAATATCACAGGAAAAAACATTGGGTTATTATTGAATATCAGTATAACTAATATAATGGGTTTAAAACATTAAGCCAAATGAAGTTGACTTATATTCCAATGTAAGTAAAATAAGCAATCAAATGCATTTTGTCCTAGTTTTTAGCGTACCAGCTAAAGTAGTCTTTATCTGAAGTTTCCTAGTCACCAAAAAGGTAGGTCTGTTCCAAACTTAAGCATCAAAAAGAGAAGATTTTTGTGAAAAGAAACTATTTGGGTACATTTTCCACGTACCTATTTTTATCTTTCTAGGCAATCAGTCTCTTCAGATAATCTTTAAATTATAACTTTAGCAAAATTATAATTTAGGATCACACTATATCATCGCTGTATCTCCAATCTCTGAGGAAACAAGCAATAGAATGCTGCAGTTTATTTAAAATCATAAAAAAGCTATACATGGAAGCTGAGTCTATGAAATAAATATATAGTGTTTTGCACAGGCCTGATCCATTGTCAGCATCTGATACACGTGATTTTACATAAACACTGTGCAGCCTTATGTTTCAATCTAGATTACAATCCAGGCGCCCTTCCCAGTGCTTCTAGATTGAGTCCGCAGAAAAAGCCTTCTGGATAGTTAGAACTCTGCAGCAGAGGACAACTCAAGGCCACTTCTACCACCTGACCTGCCTCCCACAGGCCGTGACCGCTGCTGCAGCCTAGCCTCCTGTACATCCTCGCGCTGGGCTCGTGTCTGCACAGGCCAGCAGAGAGCGTGGTCCTCAGGGGCCAGAGAAGAATGGCTGGCTGAGCCGTTACTGATCCGCGCACCCAGGACATTCTCTGCGTCCCGTCATGGTTTTCAGGAAGAAATTAAGTTGTTTATGGACCTTAGGTCTCTGTTTGGTAGCCAGTAAATCGTCTCCCAGAAACCCTACAATCACAGACCAGAGTTTCATAGACCAGTGCGTCAACGTCCACAACGAATTGCGTGGCCAAGTCAACCCCGCCGCGGCCGACATGAAACACATGGTGAGAAAGAACCTGGCTGGGATCTTATTTCTCGGGTTCATCCTAAGGTATCTGGGCGATAGATTTCACGGACGCGTTTGCATGAATTCGGTCAAGACTTTCAGCATACAGTTAAAAATCACACCTTGGCTGGCTGTCTCCCCCAGGGTGGTGTTGGAATGGATGAGAAAGGAAAACTTGAAGCTGTTCCTTGCCTAGTCTTATACATATACACATTCTATATAAACACAGCTATATGCTATATCTTCCAAAAGAAACAATGAAAGGATGAATATAAATTAACTTGCATTTACATAGCTACCTGCAGGAGAGAGAGGAGAAAGGAATAGGATGGAGGAGACATGAATAGAAATGAAGCTTCTTTGAATTTATTTTGTTTTATAGTTGGACTTTGTAAACATGTGAACTTTTTTACCCTATACTTTATCCGGCGCTCTTCATTTCTTTCTGTGGATCCATATTTCCACTTAGTATTATTTTCCTTTTGCCTAAATGACCTTAACATTTGTTATACTGTTAGTCTGTTGGTAATTAATTCTATCAACTTTTTATGTCTGAAAATCTTTATCTCCCCTTAATTTGTGATACATATTATCACTAGGCACAGAATTCTAGGTAGAACTTTAAAGATGTTGCCCCACTTCCTTCTATATTCATATAAATTGTTTGTGAAGAGAAGTCTATGGGTTATTTTCTTTTTCCCATGTATATCATATGTACTTTTCCTCTGCTGCTTTTAAGAATTTCTTTCCCCTTGGTTTTGAGCAATTCGATTATGATGTGTTTTGGTGTAGCATTGTTCATGTTTCCTGGGGTTTATTGAACTTCTTAGATCTGCAGGTTTTAATCACATTAGAAAAATGTCAGCCATCATATATTCAAATATTAGAGTTCAATTGTAAGCATATTATGCCATTTGAAGCTGTCCCACAGCTCACTGATGCTCTTTTCATTAACAAAAAATTTTTTTCTCAGTCTTGTTTTGTCTACTAATTTTAACTGTGTTAGTTCTGGTCTAATTTCCATTGACTAATTTGTCTCATTTTGGGTTGTATTTTCTTTCGTTGTTGAATGCAGATAATTTTTTATCAGATAGCTGATTCTGTGTATTTTACTTTGTTGGGTGATGGTTATTTCTGCATTTCTATAAATATTCTTGACTTTCCCTGGCAAGCATTTGTTACTTGGCATTTTGATCCACTTGAGTTTTGTTTTTATGACTTGTAAGTCAGGACGAAAGTCATGTTTACAGTAGAGATAATTATCTCCCTCTAATAAGGAAAGTGCCTTTTGAGTACTCTACACAATTACAAGATTGAGGTTTTCCAATCTGACTTGCGGAAAGAGGCAATATTCTCAGTACTCTGTGATCATTAGGTAATCTGCCTCATCCTTTTGTGTGATTCATCCCCTGGCTTAAGGTATGTTCCTCATATATATGTGCTGACAAATATCAAAGCGACCCTATGAACATCTTAGGAATGCTGTCTCTCTGCAGGTCTCTGGTACTTCTTTATGGCCTGAACATTCCCTGAGGGCAGTAAGCTAAGGCAATCATAGATCTCATCTCATTGGTTTCCCTCCTCTCAGGGATCACTAGTCCTTGTAGCTTGATGTCATGTTTCTTGGTAACAGCTTTTTCACATATGTATTTTATTTTTATTTTTTTAAGTAGGAAGTAAATGTGGTCCTGTTACTCCACCTTGGCTAAAAACACAAGTGCTAACTATTGGTTAAGTCTTCAACAGGAGTTTTCTCTATTTTCTACTACTGAATCATCCAGGAAAAAATAGGAATCTCATATCTTATATCAAATTCTATAAATGTCAGAAAATGATAGACACTGATGTGTTAACAAATAAACTTTGAAATTATGCAGGCTTTCTTTTTGTTTTTATTTTTTATTTTTTGTTGACATACAACATTATATTAGTTTAAAGTGTACAACATAATGATTTGATGATATATGTATATGTGTGTGTGTGTGTGTGTGTGTGTGTGTGTGTGTGTGTGTGTGTGTATACATATAGGAATACTCAAATGAAACAAAAATCACATAGTTACTAATATTTTCTCGTGATGAGAACTAAGATTTAATCTCTTAGCAACTTTCAAATATACAATACAGTATGCTTAACTATACTCATAATGCTGTACTTTACAGCAATAAAACTTGTTTATCTTATAACCAGAAGTTTGTATATTTTAATTACCTTCACACCTTTCACCCTCCTCCCATCATCGTCATCTGGCAATCATCAATCTGTTCTTAAGATTCCACATATAAGCAAGATCATAAAGTATTTGTCTCTCATTGTCTGACTTATTTCATTCACCATAATTCCTTAAACGACATAGGTTTAGCATCTCACTTACATCACCTCTCCACATCACCTCTTCAAGCAGTACCTTGGGCTGTTTACATCTCGATTCCATCATGCCAACATATATTCTTCAAAGTCAATAGCAAGAAAGCTAGAGGGCTGCACAGAGTTTTTATGTTCCATCCTAGAGACGATATCTGTCATTCCCACCTGTATCCCTCTGGCCAGAATTAATCTGATGAACCTAAAATGCTTGCATTAAATATCTCTACCACAGACTGCTTTTATGGTCATCAAATATTCTTTCATTCCTTTTCTCCCATGCATAGAATCAATTCAAGGCCTCCTTTAAAAGATAAAACCCAATATCCTGTCCAGTTACTGAATCAGAGTCTAGTATCACTGAGTGGTACACAACAATCTCTTTAGCAGGGTTGGTTGTGGATATTCTTGGCCACATTACTGTGTTTGTCCTCCACAGAAACAATAGTCAATGCTAGCACAAAGACAAGCGACCATAACAAACAGAAAGTAGAAGAATGGGAGCAATTCTGAAATCTTTAGAGTAGATATTATGAAGATATACTAACATGGGAGTCAAAAAAGTTCTTTGATTAGAGGTGGTGGGAATCCCCTTGTCCATTTTTTTTGTAGTCCCTTTTTTCTCCCTCTAAATGTTCTTCTCTATCCATCATTTTCTTTGGTCCAGTTTAAATTGGGCAATGGAAAGTAGGCCATTTTTGAAGATGGCATGGCCTTCTCAGACTGCTTTCTTCTCACAGAAATTTAAAGTCCGAGGGTCAGTTTAAGTAGCCGGTGTTCAAAGGCTTTTTCACAAGAGTTTCAAAAACTCTAGAAGTCTTTCAGCTATTTGACTCCAATCAGTTCCAAGTTATCAATGCCCACACTTAAAGAACTATTTAAAATTTGTTGAAGTCTTTATTTATTTGTTTTCTCACCCTGTTCCTTTTCTTTTATATCTTAATGCCAGTTACCTTGAAACATGAGTTTTGGGAAAATGGGTACACCTTTAACCTGTTCCCAAAATGGTAACTTCGAGAAGTGAGGAAACAGCTCTTGAGTATTGCTGGCAAACGATATTATATTATGCAAGAATACTGCGTTCTTGACAAAAGGAAAGATTTGACAAGTTGATCTTTTCTCTTACCTAAGCACTTCCACAGTTCAAGTCTCTCCCAGACTCTGATCCAGTGTCTGTCTCCGATGTAATCAGCGACAATGTTCACAAACTTATTTACCATTTATAGGTGACTTTTGTTATAAAATCATGTGGCGAAAGATGCAGATGTTCAGTGTTGGGTTCATACTGAACCCGTTCTAAGCTTAGAATAAGGGGAATCTTTTGTTTTATAATAAATTGTGTGTGTGTGTGTGTGTGTGTGTGTGTGTGTGTGTGTGTGTGTGTTCGTAATATGTAATGGCCTCTAAAGCCTGTGCCCAGAGCAGGGAATTCTTCCTACCTACATCTTGGGGAGTTGTGAGTTTAGATTTTTCTCATGGCTGCGCCCAACTTCCAGCAATAAGTTTTATAAAAGGTTAGGCTAGGCTGTGGTATAAAATAAACTTTGAAATCTCATGTATATATTTTCATTAAATCAACTTCAGTGTAATTTTTAATCTTCACATTGACAGAGGACAAAAAATGTGATCTTTAACAGTTTGGGGACTCCTCCTCCCATTATTATACAAAAACAAAACACACACACACACAAAACAATAACCTGGAGTCTTTGTTTCAAAATACAGGGGAAGCAACTTTAAGAACCAAGTCAATAAGTCATTGTTACCTTTCTAAACTAGTCATTGGGATGCCAATAATATTGTCCTTCCAGATTTGGATATGGTACTGCCCCCATAACAGTCCTATGGCACAGAAATCTTAAGAAAGGCTGGGAAAACCATGTGAGATCTCCTACATTCTCAGTATACTGTCCTATTATTCTCTTCAAAATCTTCTTATATGCTCAAGGTTCTGATTTTGGTAGTACACTTTATGTTGAGGTTCTAAAGCTTACAACCATGCCAAATTCTAGAGGCAAGGAATTATAGGGATTCTATCTACCTTGTTGGTAATGCCTTATTTGAAGTTATGGAAATAGAAATGGAAAATGCAATGACCATACCCTTAAAGAATCATATTCCCAAGAAAATGGAATAAATCCATTTGCCCTATCTCTCCTGTTAAGTATAGCAAAAACCTTATATGTTTATATATATATAAACAAATATAAGAAGACTCTTAAAGTGAGAGAGAAAAAGAAGACAGATCAACTAGGGACTGTACGACTCAAGAAATGACACGGATGAGTTCTTTGGATTTTATGTTTGACTTCTATGCATCCTGGACTTGGTGCTAAAGAAGTCTGAAACTCAAAAATGTCAATGAATGTAGAAAATAAAAGCCTCTAGAAAGGCCTATGCTCTCTTCCCAGAGAACCTGGAAAGGGGCAGCCTCATAAGGCAGAAATCTTTTTTAACAATAACCATTCTAGCCTGGATGAACAACACAGGAAAAAACAACAACCCTCCTAATCTTTTCAGCAAAGGCCAGATGAAGAGCCTAGATGACCAGCCTCACCTTATTTCAATCATATTCAATTATATACTGAATGCCTCTACTCTAGCAGTACATCTCTTAGGTACTGGAAAGACAAGATGAACTATCAGAGGGAGTGTTAATAGCATGTTTCTGAAGCAGAACTAAAAAGAAATGACTGTGGATAGAATAAGTACAAAATAAAAATTATATTTTATTAAAATAATAAATAACTTTAACCCAAAAAACTATGCACAATTCACTTTAAATTATTTTTATCTTTCAGACTTGGGATGAAGGTTTAGCAATGATTGCTGAAGCATGGGCAAAAAAGTGCAAATTTCAACACAACACCTGTATAGGAAAATCATTTGAATGCCATCCAACTTTTCAATATATTGGAGAAAATATCTGGTTAGGAGGATTAAGCATGTTTTCACCAAAATCTGCTATTCTTGCTTGGTATAATGAAACTAGAATGTTTGATTATAGTACTCTTTCATGTACTGGAATTTGTGGCCATTATACACAGGTAAGTATTTGACATTTTATTGGTTTATTTCTTATTTATGCACGTTTCAATCACAAGACAAGGTTTTTACCATTGTCTTTGGAGTTTCTTGAGTTTCCTGAAAATTCACCATCATTTAAAAGATACTTTTATTGGGTTTAGAATTCCATGGAGTTTTGTTTCTGTTTTTTTCTGAACTTTAAAAATTACTCCACTGTCATCTTACATTATTTCTATTTAGAAGTCTACTGTAAACTTTATTATTTATTCCTGTGTACGTAATATGTCTTTTTTCTCTGACTGACTTTAAAAGGTTTTCTTTATTACAGGTCTGGAGCACTTTCATAATGTACTGAAGTTTTCTTCATATTTTTGTACTGCAGTTTACCGAGCTTCTTGGAAGTGTAGATCTATAATTTAAATCAAATTTGGAAAAATGTTGGCCATTGTTTCTTGAAATATTTCTCTCACTGTCTCTCACTTGTCTCTTCCCAGAGTCTAGTTACTCATGTTGAAGGCCACTCGAATTCTTCCATAGTAGATTGATGCTCTCTTCTCAATTGTATTTCGCTCTTTGATTATTTCATATAGTATTGTTGCTGCATATTTAAGTTCACTAATCTTTTCTTCTGTAATATTTAACCTACTATTAATGATATTTAGTTTATTTTTCATCTTAGATGTTAAATTTACATCTCTAAAAGTTTGATTTTTGTCTTTTTTATATCAGTAAGTATATCTAGAATATATAATCTTTCATCTATCTTTTTAACAATATGGGATAGTGTTATAATATTTTACTGTTTTCCCTGACAATTCTAGTGTCTATGTTTGTTCTAGTTTAGTTTCGATTGTGTTTTTTCCTTTAATATGGGTCAATTTTCTTATCATTGTGCATACATTTATTATATAATTCCAATTTTATAAATTTTGCCTTGATGGATGCTAGATTTATTTATATACCTATAATATTCTTAAACTCTCCTCTAAGATACAAGAAAGTTACTTAGATTTTGACTCTTTTGGTTCTGGTTTTTAAAATATGTTAAGTGGAAAGAAGGCAATATTTATTTTAGCCTGGGCTAAGTATCTCTCGGCAGCAAAGAAAAATTCTTCTGCATAGTCTACTCAATGTCCCAGAAATTATAAACCGTGCCAGTCTGGCTAATGAGAAAGGCCATTCCTGGTTAGTGTATAAGCCCCGGTGCTCTTTCCTATAAACTTCGCAGGTGGTTCTTTCCCAGGTCCAGGGTAATTTCCTCACATGCATGCTCTGATTGGTGCTCTGCTGAATTGACGAGGACCCCCTCCAGATCTCCACAGTAGTGTCACTGTTAGATTTTCACCTCTGCGCTGCTACACTCTCTAAACTCCTGCCTCCTTGTTCTCTCCAGACTCTCAGCTCTCTCTCAACTACGTGAATCCATCAAGCTTCTCCTGGTTTTCCTACCATCCCTACCCACTGGCCATGGCCTGGAAACAAAGCAATAAGTTGGGACAATTGTAAGGCTCACATCTCTCCCCATCTCCAAATCTCAGGGGGCATTATCCTTTGTTGTCTTATGGCCAGTATCTTGTAAAATATTATTCCTTATAATTTTTCCAATCCTTTTGATTGTTTCAGGTGGGAATTTTTGGTGACAAATGGAAGTCACTTTTTAGCCAAGTTAATCCTAGACATGGCACTGAGCTCCTAGGAAGGCCCATTTAAGGAAGAGAAAGAGCTAAATTTCTTCTCCAGAGTTAAACATCTGTATAAGTTAACTAACGTATGATGTCTTAAAGCAAGTCATTTTTATCAGAGGTGCAACAAGGAAATTAGCAGCTTCCATGCTCCCCTTCTGTTCATCACTCTTTGCCCAACAACAGGATGCTGTAAGTCTGGAAACCCTTCTCAGAATAGATGTTGTTTGCAAGGAATATGGTTTGGCTACTAACAGGAAAATTGAGGGAATGGGATCAAATGCCAGATGTCCTGATAACAAGCAGAATGCAATATTCCTAATATGGTATCAAAGCTGAGTCACAGCCTTTATGTAATCCTTTGTCTCTTCTTTTGCTGTAAGTAAAAAAGAATCTGTTTTCAAATACCTCTTCTCTCTTAGCCTTGCTACATCAGAAACAGTTGCTCACCCCTCATTGGCTAATTTACACATATGCTTAAATAATTAGGAATAGGTAGACTTCTAACAGTAGACTTCTAAATGGAAAAATTTTTCTTATTGGTTCAACAACTGTATCTTGCTTAATGTCCTAACAAACTGAGCTAAAATTTTCTTACAATTACCATCTGCAGATATTCATATTGAAGTTACAACCAATGTTCATATCGTTATATCTAGTTCTTTTAATGAAACCAATACATTTTAAACTTATACAGTTAATATTTATTTTTACCATTCCCAAAGCCAAAAAGAATCACAATTTCGATATATTAAGCAAATAGAATTTCATGGAGTAGTCATTCATGGACCAAATCTTTAAACACAATCTCTTAAAAATACATATACATGGAACCATATAGTTTATTTACTTTATAAAACATTCAGAATTATTCAGAAAGAATGGGATGTTTTAAGGATCTAACTTAATCTCATTTATTAAGTGGGAAACTAGTTCAGAGTTGATGTCACTCTCCAAACCCCACATATGGTTATAAGCAAAACTCATCTCTTTGCAGTTCACTGCACTTTTATTGCACTTTGCTGCCCCTTGGGCAAAGAGCCATTAAAATATATTGTACAAAACTTGATTCTGGCTACACCCGGGCCATGGGAAATAGTGACTAACATATCAGTTTATTAGATATGTCAATGCATTTTGTTAATTAAAATGTAAAATACATGGGTTCAGAAAATTCGTTTGTGCTGTCAAAATCTATATCAATTTTCCTTGAATTATTTTGTTTCCCAAATGGAGTAAATAATTATTTTTCCCTTTGTTCATTTGGAAAATGGGGGAAAAATCCATTCTATCATTATCAAAAAGTAATACTAATGATTTCACCACTTTATCTCTCTCTCCATGGCTAGTTTTCCATAGGAATTTTATTCTTTTGAATAACTGCTATCCTTTGCAACTAAACAAAAATAAAGATTCACCATCCTTATGGCATGCATTTTTTTTTTGCAATAAACTCAATATGTTTTTAGGCTCTATTTCTGTCTCATGATTTGACAGAGGTAAGAATATGGTTAAGACCACAAAATTTAAAATGTGATCATTAAGTAGAAATTTTAAGAGAAAGAAATAAAAGTTAATTATTGTTTTCATTTATTGTGTGCTTTTAATATTGTTTATATGATATACCCATTGACAAAATAAAAATATATTTCATAAACATCCAGAAGAAATTACTATTTTGGCCATATATTTTCTTTTTTGTGGTTTTTTTTTTTGAGAATTTAGTTAGTACCCTTCAAGAAAGCAGCTTTTAAAAACTGTTTTCATGTGAATATTAGAAAGTAAAAAAAAATAGCCAATAAATATTTCTGTACATTCATTTTTTTTATAGCATGACAAAGATTATATATATTCCCATAATGCACTGTTTGTATAGAGTTGTTTTGCATATTTTATTTAAAAATTCCTTTCCTTCCAGGTAGTTTGGGCCAATTCATATAAAATTGGTTGTGCACTTGAAATGTGTCCTAATCTTGGGAGCGCTGACACTGCAATATTTGTATGTAACTATGGACCTGCGTAAGTTATTTTGCTATTAAAAATATTTTATACTGAAATATAAATGTTAAGAATTGTTCCCCAAAATAGGATCTTATATTAAAAAGATATATTTTTTTGACAATCAAAGTCTCCCTCTCTAATGCTAATCAAAAGAAATAGATGAAAATAGAAAGGAGTGAAAGAATATAAACTTATGTAAAGAACCTGTCATGAAATATTTGTACTTCAGAGTAAAAATTATGGAGATTGTTAAATAAAAAAAGAGATAATATAAAATACATTGTCACATTAATAGCTAAACACTAGGACACAAAATAAGTTGGCATATGCTTATCTAATATTATATAACATAACTGGAATGAGTAAATGATTGAGAATGATGGTGAAAAGCACATTTTTATAAAACAAGAATACCATTATTTTTAATTGCCTTGATAATAATCACACATCTAAATACCAATACAACATAAGTTAATGGGAGGCTCCAAAAATGAAATTTGAACTTTGATCACAATGGATCTGTACAAGAAAAAAGATAAAATCCATTAATAATCCAACTTTTTAAAAAATAAAAAAAATTGAATAAAATTCACAAAAAATTTTTAAAAAAGAACAAAGAATAAATATACAGGGTTAGTAAAAAAAAAAAAAAAAAGAAGCTGAGCTATGCCAAAATTGTTATGGAGAAGTACAGACATGTATATCTCTGTCTGTATTTTCTTCCACTCCTTCTCAGAAGCAGAAACCAGAATGACAAATGCATAACTTGTCATTACATCAAAGGAAGAGAAACAAAAGACAGATGAAAGAAGTAGAATAAATAAGAAGATTATAGCCTCATCCCTACATTTGTCAATAAGCATATCAGCTATAAATGGTACAAACACCCATATGAAAAAGCAGTGATTGTGAGACTGAATAAGAAATTGAGAACCAGTTATAAGCTGCTTACAGAACATACTTTAAATATAAAGACACAAACAAATTAAAAGAAAAGGAATAGAAAAAGGTTTACAATGCTACCATTAGCCAAAATAAAGCTGCAATGTCTATATTAATATCAGATAATGTGGACTTCAGAGAAAAACAAATATTACCAGGGATAATGCTAATGGGATTCATTAATGAAGAGCCTATTTGGATGAAATGGAAAATTCCTGAAAGATACAAATAACAAAGAAGAAATAAAATAAAAAGATAACTACAGAGCAATATCTCTTATGAACAGATGTACAAAAATTTTAATCAAAATTTAGCCATTGTATCTAACAATATAGTAAAGGCTTAGTACACTCTGTCCAAAAGAAGTTTATTCCAGGAATGTAAGGCTGATTTAGCATTCTAAAATCAATCCATGTAATAGTTCATATTAATTAACCTAAAAATAAAGATCATATGATCATCTCAATAAATTGAGAAAAAGACAAACACTCATTTCTTAAAAAAGTTCTCCACCAACTGGATAAAGAAACAAACTTCTTAAACCTAATAAAAGGCATCTATGAAAAACCTATATGTAACATTATATCTAATGGTAAAAGTTTTTTCTGTAAAGTACCGAACAGTACAGATAGTGAATATATTAGGTTTTCCATAACACATACATTGTTACATATTCATCTTTGTGTTTTTGTATTGTTTTAAATTACTCCATATAAATATTTTTTAAAAACAATCCTTAGCTCACAGACTGAATAAAAAAAGACCAGAAGTCAATTTGGCCTGTAGGCCATACTTTGTTGACTGTTGGTCTACAAGTCTATAGAGAAAACACAATGGAATCTATGAAAACCCTTAAAGAACTAAGAAGTAGGTGTAGCTATTTTTCAAGATACAAAATCAAAATACAAAATTCAATTACATGTCCATATACTAGCAATGAACAATCATAAATTGAATTAAAATGACAATACCATTTAGAACAGCATCGAAAAAACTATGAATTATCTTGGATAAATCGAGCAGAAGACATGAAATACCTGTCCACTGAAAAGTACATAACATTAGTGAAAGGAATTAACACAGACACAAATAATTAGAGAGATACACCTTATTAATTCAGTAAAAGACCCAATATTGTTAAGATGTAATTTTTAATAAACTAACCTATGGATTCAATACAATCCTAATAAAAATACTGACAAGCTTTTATTGTAAAAATTGACATACTAATCTTAAACTCTTATGGAAATGCAAAGGACCTAGACGAGTGAAAACAAATAAGAAAAAGACCAAATTTGAAGGGCTGACACTATTGTTTTCAAGAATTATTACAGTGTCTATGGCCATGCTTTCCTGAACAAGCCCCATCCCATCTGATCTCGGAAGCTAAGCAGGGTCGGGCCTGGTTAGTACTTGATGGGAGACCACCTAGGAAGACAAGGTGCTGTAGGTGTAAAAAAATAATAATATTGACATAAAATTAGACACTTAGATCAGGGGAACATAATAAGGGTCAAGAAATAAACCCACACATGGTAGACCACATATGTTCAACTAATTTTTCATAAATGCACAAAGGCAATGCAGTAGCAAAAGATTTTTCAACAAATGGTGCTGGAACAATTTGTCGTCATTTATAACAACAAAAGAAAAATTGGATCTATACACATAAGACATAAAAATTAACACAAAATGATTCTAAGAGCTACATGTAAAACCTAAACTATAAAACTTTTAGAAGAAAACATGGATGAAACCACTGTGACCTTAAGATAGCCAAAATTTTTAGCTACCACACCAAAAGCATAATCCATAAAAGAACAAATTGGTAAATTTGGATTTTATTAAAAATTAAAAATTACTGCTATTCAAAGACACTGGTATAAGAATGAAAAGACAAGCTACAGACTAGAAGAAAGCCTTTGCAAAATGTCAGGTAAAGAATTTATATCGAGAGTAGAGGAAGAACTCTCATAATTCAATATTAGAAAAAGCACAAACACAGAGCTGGGGGAAAAAAGAGGTTTGTAAAAATATATCAGCTTATATTATTGAAAAGCAGGCACAATAGCTGCCAAATAGTTGATTAAATGGTACCATTTTTTGGTACATCATCAAAGAACTAAGTAAAGACTATGGTACTATAATTTTACATTAAACCATAAAGCATATGGTTTTAAAATGCAAAAGCATTTGCAATTTAAATTTGGCTTATTCCACTTACAAAATCAAGTGATAATCCCAGTGTTTTACAACAAAAAAGTTTGTGACTGACACATACATAATTACACTGGGTTCACATCTAATCTGTCTTCTATAAAAAAATCAAGAATATAACTGCCACATGTATTAGCGATATCCTATAAAGAAGTTTTAATACTTTCTTTTTACGAAAGAAATGAGCATAAAATTGGGACAAAAGTTACTTTTCCTTTCAACACTCATGACTTGCAGAAATGGATGCACAAAATTAAGAGAAATTAATAGCAATTTGGCTAATCAATGTTTCTCTTTTTTTATAGGGGAAATTTTCCAAATATGCCCCCTTACACTCAAGGAGAATCCTGCTCTTTGTGTGAAGAAAAAGAAACTTGCGTAAATAAGCTCTGCCGTAAGCAAAAAGGAAAAAAATAATTGTGATATTTTATTTGGACAGCAACATTTCCATAAATTCATTATATTTTAAAATTTGGTTCCACAAGTTTAGAGGGAATTTATGAACAAGATTTGATTTCTTCTATATAATCATATAAATCATTTGTCATAAATTATCATATTTAAACTCAGATGATCTCTCCCTTATTCACTGATTTTTCTCTCTCAAGGCTAAAAGACAGAAAGGAGTGAAGTATAATTGTGTTGCTACACAATATGTATGTGCTGCTATCCAAATAACTATTACTTAAAATGTTTCTTATTTGTATTTGCTTCCATTTGCCTCCTTTTATTAGTTATTATTAAAATAGTGGCTCATTCAGAAGTAACATATTAATCAATGTCCAAATTAATTGTGATTTAAAACTAATGTTTCTCTTCCATCGTCAGATTTTAAGTTCTTAGAACAAAGATACTTTTTTAGAATAAAAAAGTATAAATTCTTGATAGATGACAGAGTGAAATGAAATTTCAAAACTAAAAATTTTAGAAAGATGTGATGCCACAAAACAAGACAGACACACAAAAAATGCATATTAAATGACTCCATTTCTAGAAAGTTCATGTTCAGGCAAAACTAATTTACATTTGGAGTCAGGATAATAGTTATCTTTGGAGAGGAAGAGAAGTTAATAATTAGAACAAGATACCAGAAGGTTTATCTAGGTGTGTTCACTCTGCAATAATTCATCAAACTTTCTATTTATGAGGTATGTATGTTTCTATATTCATGTTATACTTCAATTAAAGAATGAATTAGAAGTATAGTCCCTCTAAGTTCAGATTTCATTCACGGTGACTTAAAATATAAACTTACTGCATTATCTTCCCTTTGGAAACTAAATTTTTCTAGTCAAGGAGATATAAAGATAACACTTTTTTTCTTCACTTCCTTTTCCTGTCCAGTATCCAAGCTACTGTCATTTCTCTCTTGAACTAGAACAGTTTACCACTTCTCTTCCTACTCTACCCTAAACTGGTTTACACAAAGAAAATCAGATCAAATCACTTCTTTTCTTAAAATTACTCAATGGCTTCTTACTGCAATTAAAAAAAAAAAAAATCTAACTCTATACAATGTCGCCGACAAACCCAAGCATGATCTGGCACTCGCCTCTGTCTCTTACCATATTTTTTTATTATCCTCCCTTTGACACACTTCTTTCTAAAAATTCCAGCATCAGAATCACCTGTGGGTCTGTTTATACTCTCACGATGGTTTTTGTTTTCTCTGAGTTTTGGTAATATGCTGTTTCTTTGTATGGTACATTGTCATTAAAGATGGCAATAATTCTTCTCCTCCTTTACATACATGCCACTCCTCCCATCAAGAAGTAGAACTTATTTCTCCTCTCCTTGAATAAGGACTTAATATGTGCCAGATCCAGGCCTACTCTTTAAGAGACCTGGCAGCTTTAGCTTTTACTCTCTTGGCACCTCTCCAGCATATCAAGACATCCACGCTCTCCTGCTGGGGAGATCACATCGAGAAGCCCTAGAAGAGGAGAGGTCAGCTTCCTGTTTCAACCCCAAACGAGCTCCAGTGAAATGTAGCCGTGTCACTGAACCCTGATGACACTACACATAGCAGGGGAATTGCCTATTAGAGCTGGCCAACCCAAATAATTCTGAGAAATAAATTGTTACTGTTTTAAGCTATTAAGGTTTGGAAATTTGTTTCACAGCAGTAGATTGTGGAAACATTTGGTATGACTAATAAGTTTATATTAAACACCTAACAACATGTGTAAAACCACAACGTAGAGAATTCTATCTTTTCCTTCGCTGAACAGATGGACCAGGGATTGTTCATCTTAATCCAAACATGACTTAGTAAAGGCTGGGTTAGAATTTATATAAAGCTTAGTCCACCTCTGTTTTCCCTTGTTCCAAAGGTGTAGACTTCTAGAGCTTTCCACTGAGAGGCTGGTATATTCACTGTTTCCTTTCCCTGGTGGATCCTGAACTCTAAATCTATTGCTTTAGCATGCTGAAATTACTTTAAAAAAAAAAATCTGCTTTGATTTCCAGAGGCCTTCAGCCTAGGTTTTTAGCCTCCTGCCCCTCCCAGCCTCAAAATTAAACAAATAGTTTGAGTACAAAATATGCGTCTCTTGGGTTCATTTCTTCCACCTCTACCTCTTACCTGAATCTTGAGCTTCTCAATTCTCCAATTTTATCTCTCTAGCCTTGCAGGGCCAATACAAGCTCTACTGGATTCTCTGTTGCCCCAAATCAACCAAGGACAAGCCTAGAGTTTCAGCCATAGACCTGGGCCCAGAATCAAAAAAATGAACCCAATGAAGGAGCAACTTTCATAATAACATCAGCCCACCCCTACAGATCTCCTGCTCTGAAATCTTCACCCTCCAGTCTTTGTTGCTTTAGCGTGTCTCTGATGCTCAAAACATTATTTTGTTGTATTTTATTTGGATTCTCTAGCTGTGCTTGGTGACAGCTTATGTCTGTTATAAACTACTCCATTCCAGACACTTAAGCAGGTATTGACATTGGGTCTCCAAGACAGCCTTGAGCAAGCTACAAAGGCTACAATAAACTTTAATACCTTGTAGGAGGTGTTCTCCCAGCTTGCTCCTTTTCCAAATTATTCAGAAATTATTGGGCTATTCATGGCCCTTTGCTCTTGCAAATTTATATTAGGATAACCCTATTACCTCCACAGAAAGCCTGGAAATTTTGGTTGGAAGCACATTGAATTTATAGGTAAATTTAAGAAGAATTAACATCTTTATAGCATTAACTATATTTAGGTCTTTTTAAACAACTTTCATTTAAGTTTTGAAATTTTCTCAGTAAAGTTCTTGCACCATCAAGTTAGATTCCTTAGGAACATGTATTTGTTGCTCTAAGTTATATTTCCTAACTGATTTTTGCTGATTTATAGAAATATAAATTATTTTCATATTCATCTATTATCCAGAAATCTTACATAATTCTCTTATTATTGCTAATAGTTTGTTGATTCTCTAGGATTTTCTATAACAATTATGTTATCTGTAAAAATTGCAAGTTTTGTTCTTCTAATTTTTCTATCAGTTATTTATTTCACTAATAATGGTCAGCAAATCCTCCAGTGCAACATTGAACATAAGCTGTAATTGTAGACACCATTCTCTTGTTCCTGATTTTAAGGACAATGTTTCACCATCACCCACATTTGCTTTAGATTATTTTTAATTAGTCCTTATTGCCTA